CTTTCCCACATCTCACTCTCCCCAGAGCTATCAGCAAGATTTCCCCTTCCTGAAGAACTCTGCTCTTTTCTTCATCAGTCAAAAGTCACTCTCTGAAAGAATACTAAGCTCCAGGCAAAAATAATAATAATACTAATTAAAAAAATTTAAAAAATTCACCTTGGAACTAGTGGAACTAGAAGATATTATCTCAATATATCATGGTTTTGGTCTGTGTTTTTTTTGTTTGTTTGTTTGTTTGTTTGTGGGGTTTTTTGGTGTAATTTTTTTATAAACTGTAACTTCCCAAAATACTGGCTGGTAACAAAAGTGTCTTTTCCAGTTGTGAGTCCTATTATCAGCATAGCTTCTTTGGCTTGAGCAGAGTAAAGTTGCTTTACCGTAGCTGAAAAGCTGATTCCCCAACTACAGTAGTGTGACTGGGTGCTGTTTTCTAATCAAATAACCACTGTGAAATACCTGATTCACTTTGCACCCAACAGCTGTACTTTCAGCCTCTGTTCCCAGTCACACTCTGAAAAAAAAAGCACAATAAGAAAGGCTGAAACAGCTGCAACTTCTCAACAGAAAAAAAAAAAAAAGAAAGGGGAAAAAAAAGGCTTGTTGTCAGGCTCCAGCTTAGGAAGGAAGTAAAACCATTTTTCTTTTCCGTCTCATGCATGTCAGCTGTCTTAGAAAAATTATTACTGCTCTGTTTTGTAACAGAAACTCCACAATATTTGGTAAACTACAAACTCCAATCTATTCAAGGCCAAATACAGATTTAACATTTCTGATGCAGCCAAAACATGCTCAGTATGTCAATGGGCTGCAATTACTCTCCAGGAGAGCTTTGGAATTCACCTCCTGGCCCCAATTATCCTCCTTAAAAGAACTCATGAATCTTCTGTATTTGGACCATCCAGATCGATTTGATTTTAGTTTTAGATTTTGGCTGAAAAAAATAAACATTTAGTGAAGGAGGTTGTATTTCCTTTCCAGTATTAGCTCTTTCCAGATCTGTTTAATTGTGTAATTCTATTTAATCAAACTAAAAACACAAGCAGAAAACAACAGGTGACTATTCTGTGGTTGGATAAAAAACCCCTGCTTTTGCATTCTGAATATTGCTGGCTCCTCAGATGAGTATTTTAAAACAATCAGAATACAGCCTATATTCCACAGTTTTGATGGGTAATGCCATAAGCTACAGTGGAATCACTTGTAAAGACAAGAACTACTCATTTTGATGCGCCTCTAAATACAGCAAAACTCCAGAAACAGGTAGCCATCATCTACAGAAAGAAAAACTTTGTTCTCAGAAACTGTATGTTAAATCTTCCACTGACTTTTGCAGCAATGCTGTGCTATAGTTGTGTGGTAGAGAGAAAAATGGATGGAGATGGAAACAAGAGTCAGAGAGAAGGGGTCAGCAGGAAAGAAAGAAAGAAAGAAAGAAAGAAAGAAAGAAAGAAAGAAAGAAAGAAAGAAAGAAAGAAAGAAAGAAAGAAAGAAAGAAAGAAAGAAAGAAAGAAAGAAAGAAAGAAAGAAAGAAAGAAAGAAAGAAAGAAAGAAAGAAAGAAAGAAAGAAAGAAAGAAAGAAAGAAAGAAAGAAAGAAAGAAAGGAGAATCGAGTGGTTGGCTGCTGATCAAGTATAAGCAAGTATAATGGGAGAATCCGAGAAACATTTTCAAATACATTTCTCTCAGGTTGCATATCCGTAGCTTGCTGCTGCACCTACTGGTTTCCACAGCAGAGGCTTGGAGCTTCAGTTCAATTTAGGTGGTATGATCGCTATGTTTTAAACATATTTTTCTTCCCCACAAAATGTTTCATAACAATTAAAGGAAACTCTAAATTAGATACAGCAAAAATGTGAATTAAATTTCATATTTGGGCATTTCAGGTTGCAGTTGTCAGAGACAGAGGTACCGTACTACTATTTCTTTTAATCTCATGGATGACTGCTGGAGCTGAAATTTATGTCACAAACCAAATTGTCTAAATATGGTAAGGTTTGGTATTTCAAAGAGGATACAAGATGAACTAGATTCACTGGAAGGGCTGAGCTGATTTTCTAATTTTAGAAACCTACATATGAAAATTTTTTTCTTTTGCTTTTAAATAGTTGGCATGAAAATATGTTCGCAAGGTATTAACACAATATAACCAGATTTAAAACAGGTTCAGAATTTTGTAACCGATTTTCTCTGAAAGCATACTTGCGTCTGAAGGGATATAGTGAGCTCTGAATAGCTACAGGTTACAAGGGGATTGCCCAGGAAAATTTGCTATTTGCATGTACAAAGAGCTAAAAATGTGAGTGCAAATGACTCTGCAAAAGTGAGGTGCATGATAAGTGAAATCTTGAAGATTCTTTGCAATATGTTCCAGTAGATTTGTGACTGAAACAAAAAAGAACATTGCATTTCTTTGCTAAAAAATGTGAGGAAGTGTTTGGAGATATCTTTTTGATAAATTAAGTCATTGTTAGATTATCCTGATTTTTTTTAACCCATTTTACTTCAGTAATGGTCATTTAATAGCTCAATTTTTAATGATTTCCATCTCATTGCAGTTAATATCTGTATTTCCATAGAAACACTGCAAATCTGCTTTAGTTGGACATTTGCTAATGAACATGTTTGAAAGCACTTCCTAGATAACTATTAGTGAAAAAAAAAAGATTTAATGTAAGTGAACATTAAGCTCTGCAAAAAGCTGTCTCTTCTGTACCCTACAGACCTAGTATCTCTTTCAAGATCATTTAAAAGCAAAACAAATACTAACCTTTTTATTTGGAGGTAGCATCATTAAAAGCAGCCAGTATGCTTATTCTCCTGCTGGTTGTACCAAACCCTCAAAGAAAGAGCTTCTCCTTACTACAATATGAGCCCAGTTCTGACTTCCCCTCTAGATCAAGCCAATCTATTTAAATGATGATAATATTTCTGCTAATGGCAAAGTACAGTTTACACAATAGCCTTTCTTTTGATCCATAACTGAACCTGGAATGGGAGATGTATTCTGGAAATATTTAAATTGTTCCTTGAGTTGGGTAAACATCTGAATGAAGTGTGTGGTGCAGGATTTGAATGAATAATTTAAAGAATGTTACAAATAAAAATAATGCTGCCTTGCACTTTCCACCAAAGCCCCCTAAAAGCTTTGTGACAGCCCAGAAGAAACGAAGCGAGTAAGACAGTAGTTGTTAACTGTATTTTGTAGATAAGGAAATGGCTTCCGAAAGGTTAAACAAATTGTATATGTTCGCTGTGTGAGCCAGTATCTACACTTAAGAACAGAGTGTAGGTTGCTCCTGTGCTCAATAATGTAGCTCTTAGCATTTTTCTTTCCTGTGCTGAAGACAAACTGCAGCTTAAAGTTACCAAGATCATCGTGGGAAGTTCAGGTGAAACTGGCAGGGTTGTCATTGAACATTTTCTTAAATTCTTGTCTTTTAGGGGGAAAGAAAAACATTATTTTCTCCAGTTTTTTGTCTGTCCCTTGTGGTAAATTACTTTGACCTCCCTCCCTGTAGGAGTATTACGGATTTTGCATTATGGGGCTGGTTCTGTGTCCAGTCTGTGCAGAAGACAGAAATGGAGGTATGGGATTCCCTTTGTCCAAAAAGGGTGCCAAATAGTGGGGACAATAGGTAACCCTACTTACTATATGTGGCAAGGACAGAGAATGAGGAGAAGGGAGAGAAGGAAGGGAAGGCTTGTTAGTTAATCTCATCTGATGGCTTACACCACACAAAGAAAAGGTGTAAGTGCCCAAGTGTTTTCTAATGGAAGCTTTTGGAAATGGGAAAGCTGGAAGACCACTGCAGCTCATGATAGCCCATCCCATCAGGTTTTAGTTGATGATGGTTGGGGGACAATGCTACTAACTTGGATGACTCTCTGCAGCCTACAGAGCAAGAAGAGCCAGAGAGTGCCAGTACTTCAGGAAGCCCACTACGAGACAAATAATACTGACAAAGGACATGGGTCCTTGGGTGCAAGAGAGATCCAGGCTGAGATGCAGCTGGAGAAGCCAAGCGCTCCAAGGTGGTCATTGCAGGATAACAGTGCTTGAAATAAGGTGGGTGAATAAAGGAAGCACTTGGTGCTTTCAAAGTACTTTGTCCTCTGATGTTTGACTTTTACTGCCAAGTTTTTAAAATATTGTTTGCCCTACGGGTTAGATTTATTTCATTAGTCACCTACAAAGAAGTCATGTAGTGTAATCTACCTGTCTAGATTAGTTATATACTTGGTAGAGGGAGACGGACTTCTCAGGATGGTGACTGACCACTTATTATGGAAAACCTGCTTTAAGACAGGAAGAATTGCTGTCCAAAATAACAGAGTGAGAAGAGAATGAGCAAGAGCTCGAAAATCCAAGATGCACTCAGACACACTTGAAAGTAGGTGGAGGAGGAGCTAATCTGAATTCTAGAGCTGTGAGTCATAGTCTATGGGTACATTAGCAAGTAATTTGGTGCCAGAGGCGTGCATCAGTATATAGAAACAACTAATGCCAAGGCTCCTGCTTTTACACTATTAACTGTCTCGAAATTTTACTTTAAACTAGGTTTAATCTGATCCTCTAGACCAAATGGCCATATGAAGCATATATCTGAAGTTGTCTGAAGAATCAGTCACTGCTTTGGACCCTTCTGCCCCAGCTGAGGTTGAAGCATATTTGATGTGTATCCAGGACAAAGCTTTCCTTTGAGAGAAATCCAGTTTGTATGGACCAAAACTGCTCTGTGAACTGAACCAGCTGGACTAAGTGGAGATCATGGTGGAATTTGCTCCAAACCATTGCTCCAAACCACAAAGCCCATGTAAACACTTAAACTGCTGAATGCTCTATTAAGCACTGTTTATATTTCACAGGCTCTACTTCACTCAGCAATATCAATTTTCTAATGCCCTGTTAAACTGGGATAATACTGTCCCTCAATTTTCACCATCCTGCTACACTCCAGTAAGTTTTTCTCTTGTGAAGGTGTTGTAGTAATATTTACCTGCATGAAGCGGCCCTCCGAAGTTCCCAGATTAGCAACAGTAAGGTTCCCTTTGGTGAAGACAGATATCGAATTTAACAGGACACTGTTGAACTGGCCCATGAACAAGTCAACCCTCTGCAAAGGAGTTGTAACTTCCAAACGATATTCATCATCTTGTGTTCTGCAGTATGAAGCATTTCTTGAAAAAGCCTGTTAGAAAATGAAGCACAGATGAGTACTGTCTTTACGAGTAGGAATAGATCTCTGTCAGAGTGAAGTCATTTAGCACAAATGCATTTGACCAAAAGTATTTTAAAATGTTTCAAACTTAATTGCTTCATCAGTTATGATATTCCATGAGGAAGGCAACGACTTCTTAATGTTATGGGAATGTTTCTTTTAACTTTCTTTTTATCCTATCTGTTGGGAATAAGACATAGGGTCTTTATTTAACCAGATGATATGTGTATAATCACATACATCAAGGTGTCCTTTCTCTTAGTGATTTCCATAATACTACTTCTCCAAGGGTGTCAGAATTCTTTGACTGCAGAGACTGCCCAACAACACACCTGCTTCTAAAACAGTGACTCCTAGAAAATGATTCTCTAAAAACTTGTGATATTTTTAACCTTTTTTTCCATAAAAAAACGATTTCCAGTATTCTTTTCTTTCTATTCTCTTTTCGACACCTTTTTCAGTGATAAGATAGAAAAGTGAAGAAAAAGATGGAGAAAGAGAAAAGGGAGATAAGCCAGGAAAAATATGTTTCAGATTGTAAATTTAAATGAAGCCATGAGGAAGCCAGCTTTTTATCATTACTTAGGCTATTGTATCTATGGCTCATGCACCATTTTGTCTGATCTCTATATGTCTTGAGTGTACTATAATAGTTGCTGCATTTGCAGGATTTCTCTTTTAGTTTGGGAATAAAGATTACATGTTTTTAATTTTCATTGGAAAAATTCTTGAACGATACACTTTAAGTTATCTCCAGAGGAGAATATAACCTGCTGTCCTGACAATTCAATAGTAATCTATTAACTGATAATTCCATTACTATTGATACTACATCATCTGTTTTGGTAAGATTGTACAGATGATAACCAGAAACCCCCTTAAGGATCCCTAAGCAGTTTAAATTTGGAAGCCATCTAGCACGTTCCCACTGTGACATACGTTATGAATAAACATGTAGGGACATTATAAAGGATCTTACGGTAGTTTCCGCTGTTGAAATCAATAGAAAGCTTAATTTTCCTAATTTTTTAATTGATTTGTTGTTGTTACAAACATGTTTTTTTTTTTTTAAAAGGCTTAAATTAAACTTTTTAAAGACAGTCAGAGTCTTTACACTAAATTCAACAGATCTGGATCATACTCTTAAAGAACAAGTCGGAGTAAAATTTTATTTTCTTATTTTCTTGATTCAGATGGTTTTCCTTCTACTACCTATAATCAATGAGAAGGCAAGCAATGAACCAAGAATTTCTTGCTAGCTTAACTCTGGTGAATTCTGCAGGAAAAACAAGGCACTGAAAATGCTATTAACAAAATGTTCAACCTAATAGCTCAGTCCTTTGTTGCTGAATTGTAAAGTTTCTGAATTACACACACTGGCGAGTGAAGTTTTCCATGATCCCTAGGAGCTGCAGTCAGCTGTGGTGCCAGCTTTTCTCCAGGTGTCCTGTCAATTTACTGTATCATTTAGGTAAAAACTTGCATAAGAGCAAACAAGAGTAACTGAAATCTCTATGCACTGCCTGATGATACAGAAAGAAGGCTTCCAGATTAGATCTGATACAGCAGTGACTTAACAGTTTAGTTATCCACATGCTGAAGCATTTGCTGTATTAGTTTTGGTATTAACTGTTAAAGTGTGGGGTGTTTTGCTCAGCAAGAACTGAACTAATAATTTACACTAGGTACACGGAATATTCATTGAATACACTACAAATATTTTTAATTTGACTGATCCACAAGGGACAAATTTAGCTTTTCTTTGCTTTGGCCACCAAACAAGCTAAAAGCTTTATTCTTTTGTACTCATATCCTATCCAGTCTAAAAGTATTTCTGAAACATCTGTGCAAAGATTACTCATACAATGAGTATGAATAGTTCAAGTGCAGAAAGATGTACAGTTTTCATGCTTTTTGAAATAAGACAGGTTTCTGAATTTACCCTCCCCCAACTTGGGATCTCTGCTCTTTGCTGTAACTCCTTTTTTTTTCAATGATTCTATGACTTTGGGGAGAGATGTTTCTGTGCTAACCTTAAAAAAGTACTTCCTCCTATGCGATCACTTTAACAGGATTTGAACAGCCTGACACACCTCATGAAAGTGTTCAAGCTTTTTTTAATAAGTGGCTAGATTTTCCTGCTTGCTCTGACACCTTTTCTAGCTTCTCAGAAATCAGTTCAACCACAAAGTCAGTTCAGCCTTCCTCAGAGATGTCGTAATTTTGGGTATCTGCCCAAGAACCTGCAGATTGTTCCACATATGGCTCTCTTACAAAACTTGGCGCTTCGTGGATTAACCATAATGTAAGGTTAGCTGTTTAAGAAATAGGAAGGCTTTGATCTTGCAGTAGAAATGCAGAGATTAAAAGGCTACTTAGAAAACGAAAGGAAGATTGATAACACAGAAAACTTCGGCAAAGAAGCTGCTTTAAATTAACTCTTTGAAGCCTGAATCTCTCTCTCCCTCCCTTCCTCTCAGTATACACTTAAGTGTATCCATTTGGCTGTCAATGTGGAAAAATAACTGATGTCAGATGATGCACTCTGGATATTATGCCAAGTTCCAGTGACAAATCACACAACTATTGAAATGGACGATTAGAGAGTGGGTAAGTGCTTGGGTTGGGCTATATCGCTTCTCTTGTAGTGCCAATTGCACTTGCATATGTGATTCACAGCAAGGGTTTTGTGAAGCTGGTGTAGGTGTGCCACCGGAATGCAATGAGGTGTGGGCAAGCCCTGCCATCTGGCTGGGTCCAGGAGGGTAGGAGATAACCAATGCTATCTTGTTTGTTCATAGGGGAAGTTGTGGTGTTTCAGAATTTACCCTGGATTTGGGCCACAGAAGACAGACATGCCAAAAAAGTCTCTAAACATCATTGAGCTGGGCTATCAGGAGCTGTCGCTGTCTGGCAGTTAAGTGATGATTTATTTATTATACTCAGTGAGCATAAAAATAATATTTCAGACAGAGTTCCACATTTGAAGCCAAAAGTGCAAAGTGGGGAAGAAATTTTAAAGCCTCTAATGAAAATCTTAAAAAAGTACTCAGGTCAGTGTCAGAACCAATCGTAGAGTCTAGTCTCTAGTCTGAATAGCTAAGACTCAAAGAAAAAAAAAAGATCAAAATTTTAACCAAAACTTTTTGGGAGCTTTTCTATTATTTGCAGCAACTGCAGTTTGGAGAAACGTTTCTCCAAGGTTGCCATTCTAGAGCTGGCCAAAACCTATTCTTAGTTAAGTGCAGTGCTCAATTAGAAAGTGATATTATGTGTAACGTCTTGATATTACATTTAATGTCTTGATATTATGCTTAATGTCTTGAATAAACTAGAAATTAATGACTTAATCACTGCAGAACATCTAATACTATCTTGTAAATTATTTTGAAATAATTAAAATTAAAATTTAATTTGACAAATTGGAGAAATGATCTGAAAGTAACTAGGTAAAATTTCCTAGTGTCAATTGTCAAATACTACAGTTTTGAAGAAGAACTCAAGTGAAAGTAGAAATAATCAGGAGTCTTATTTCCCGCTGGTTTGTTTACATGACTTTTAACTTGTTGGCTGTCAGGAATCAAATTCCTAAGTATCAACTTTCGTTTTCTGCTTTGGATCCTGGGATTTTCCCTCAAGAGAAGCAGGCACCCACAAGTGCCAGTAAGGTTTCTCCTTTGAGCATTTTTATGGCATACCATGGAGCAGGGGGAAATGAACTACTGCTAAGTGAGCTGGATCCTGACATCTGCAGATGGCAAAAATCCTTTTTCAGAGAAAACTGCTGTAGCGTGAATGAATAGATGATTCTACATAACAAATTGATTCCCAAGCCGATTAAAAATGGAGATGATGTATGAGTTGCTTATCTCTTGTGTTGTGGAGGTCAATGAATTAAGATGAATACTAAACCCACAGTTTTCAGGAGTGTGTCCTACTGGAATCAAGCAAATAATGGTGAAGAATTTACATGAACAGCAGGCTCTGAACAGGAAGAGTAACTGTGAGGAACACAAAAGAACCTTATCAGATTTTTCCTCTCTAAATTTTCTTGTGTATTTTTAGCCAACACACTTTTGCTGTTCTGTAATACATTTGAATTATCTGGGTAGTTTGCAGTATTTCTCTTGAGGTGGGAAGTGCATTTGATCACTGCTTCTCTCCAAGTGAAATTCTAGCCCAAGTAGCCCAGTGAAGCCAGGGTGTTGCCTGAAGAGGATGAGTGACTTGATCGTGTTGGAGGTCTGTTAGAGGGCTGGAGTTAGAAATTATATTGTTTCCCAGTCCCATGTAAATAAAAGTGAGGGACATTATAAATTTGGCATGTCTATCATTGTTATCTTTGAAAGGAATTACTCCTTAAATTTCATAAACCTTATATATCTTCCCAGCTGTCACCTAGCAGTCTTTTTACTTCTGGACTCAGAGATGATTACTAAGACCCTTGTACTTATAGCTTTTTGACAAAATGTGGAGAGAAGAAAAATAACCAGGACAAACTTTCTGGCTTCTGGCACATTTACAGACTCTGTTCACTTCATGCCTTCTTTCTGTCAGTTCCCTTAGCAAAAGGACTATCTCCCTTCTCCTTTCCCACGTGGTTTTATGCCATAGCTGGTCAGAGTCAATAAGAAGTAATGGAGAAGAGGAGAAATATATAAATAGCTTTCAACTATACTATCTCAAAGGAATAATTTTTCCTCTGCAATTTGAAGACAGAAAGTTTGTGAAATGGAAAAAAATTTACTACTAGCAATTCTAAAAAGTCATAGTCACATTTATTGTTCTCACTATACATAACTATCATGGGGTGTCTGAATTCTTTACGGTTATGAGCACATTTAATGATGATACATGGAAAAAATATGGACACATTTATTTTTTGGAAGTAATTGACCAGAAAAGAATCTCTTGTGAACAAACTCCAGCACTGTACAACAGGCAGAAGAGAAGCCAGACAGAATTGAGGAACATGAGAAACAGAAATTCTTTGGATGTAGCATGCTGGCTTTTGCCAACACGATCAACTGCAAGTCCACAGCAAGACTCCTCACCCCTTGGTTCAGCATAACTGCAGTGTGGCTTCCCGAAACTTACTGCTGCATTTCCAAGAGAAGCAACTGTGGGTAACTAAGTAGGGATGGCCATACATCTGTACTAGTCATAGGTACTGTTCAATGCCAGGCCAAATGCACATGAATAGTGTTCCTTATTGACATCAAGACTGCATTACATTCATAGCCTCCCATTTCATGTCCTTTATCAAATATTATCAATTAAGAAATTGAGTCTTTTGTATTGAACTATTGCACATATTCATATTGACAGGGTCAGTAAATTCTCAGAAAGAGGTATCCCAAATGGATGAGTCAGATATTATTTCCTGTAGAGACTACATGGAATCTAGACTAGAGCAGTCTGCTGGGGATATGCAATGTATACCCCACCTGCTGCTATCACAGCACAGAAAGACAGCTGATTTCCATGTTAATGTGGCTGTGATAGATACTAGGTATGCTGAATTTCTCTTTCTTCTTCAAGCCCTATTTTTTCAAACAACTAACTTGTTCTTCCCAAGAACACAGTTGGGAAGAACTCTATGGAATTGGAGTT